TATATATATATATATATATACGTTGACTTTTGTTGACTGGGCCGGGCCGGTCCTATAACCGGTTACATAACCGGTCTCGGTCCTAGAAAACGTTAAAATCCATAACCGGTTCATAACCGACGGTCCACAACCCCATACCGGTCCCGGGCCGGTTCAGGTCTCTCTCCGGTCCCGGTTCTGGTCCTCCAGCGGTTACGGGCTGGGCCGGGCCCATTTGGCCATCTCTAATCCCAAGTCTCTATCTCTCTCTCTCTTTCTCTCTCTCTTTCTATCTCCCCCCCCCCTCTCTCTCTCTCTCTCTCTCTATATATATATATATATATACCCATAGGTCATTTTGAGAAGTGGTAAGAAGTAAAGAATTGTGGTTATGCAAAATAGAGGGGGTAGCTTTATAACTTTTACAAATAAGTGTCAAACGGGTTCATATGTGAACCTGTGTGCTTCACATATGAACTATATGTTTATATGTGAACCTTTGCAATTCACATATGAACTATTTTAACTGATTTATATATGAACGTTTATGATTTACATATGAACTATGGGCTCGAGCCAAGCCTAACATAATCTTTTTTTCCAAGGAGCCTAATACAACAAAACTAAGCCCGTTTTTGCAGGCTTATGGATTTGTCGGTACCCGCCTTATAAACAGGTCGGACTTGCCCACTGGCTAATGAGTTTATTTTTTTTTTAATTTGAAAAACTTTATATAAAGTCATAAGTTATATAAAATCATTTAAATTACATGATTTCTTTCGAACATAAAATAAGACAAAAAAGATATCAGTTACGTAGCGTATGAAAGAAATAGTTTCACAATATATGGAGTATCAACATTTTCTCTCCAATGATTTATCAACTTTCAAAATCCGGGTTTTTTCAATAAGAAAATATTTATCATCTAATATTTCAAGATCGAAATTTGAGACGTACTATATAGCATATAGCATATTATATATATTTGGGTGACGGTTGGTACTTGGTAGAGGGAATCCAACCCAAAGCCACTTCTAAATCTTTTTAATATAAGGCTGTAAGTTATTAAATATATATATATAGGGTATATTTCAAATACAACCACGTCCATTTGTATAACCAATGCAACCCAATTAATTGAGATATTTATGAAAATGATGAGCGTTCATTTATTATGATTTGAATATTTATGGAATATGACTAGAGTTCATTAATTATGATCAATATTTCATATTAG